GTGTTTTGGAGTTTGCAAGTGTTTTGGAGTTTGCAAGTGTTTTGGAGTTTGTACGTGCTTTGTCTCCAGGGGCCACCGTACTTTAAAGAGTTAAACTACATGTACACTTTCAATGTAATGTAAATAAAATTTACTTAGTTGGTATAAATTCAGTATATAACAACCATATTTTCCTTAATGATTAAAAAATAATTATATATATTGTTTTTTTTATTTATTCCTTCATGAGGGGAAGAATCTTTTTGTTAGTTTATGGGGACTTAAAATATTAGTAATCAGTTTTTGATGTCATTACTGTATTTTGAAAATTGTTGCTAATTAACAGCTAATTAGTCAGTTAATAACCTTAAGATGTTATAAACTGGAGTCCATCGGTGCTCCTGCTGCTTGAGCACATTGAATTTGCTTGTAATGAATTGTGCCATATAAATAAAATTGGCCGTTGCTTGTTGATCTAAGCTAGCATAACCTTAGGCAGTTACAGCACAAAGCTATCAGTTGTACCATTAGCATTTATTGCTTTGATAAACATGTAACGTATTTTTGTTGTTGGAGCAGTTTTAGCTTCTCTGTGATGAGCAATATATATCAGTACTTTAAAGATTAAAAAATGTTTTGTCTGATTGGGTATCTCAGCACCAGGATGTCGTTTGGTAATATTAGGAACATGAGAGGGCACCTGTGCTACTCACCACGGCCACTTTGGCACTTTGCTATTTCCGTTAGAGTATTGTTGATCTCTTTTTTCATCTTCCTTCAACCGGGAAGTTCACTGACTTCGAAATTTGTTGTTCAAGAAAGTCATTACCACTTCATTAAAAAATAAACCCCAAATAAAATCAACGTATTAGAAGAGTCTCACCTTTTTGTTCTTTTTCAATATGGGAAGAAAAATCAAAAACACATAAAAATCCAAATAAGAGTATTTTTAACTTTATTTGAATAAAGCATAAAAAATATTTAAATAGAAATATTCACCAGTCGGTGAGAAATGCATTTGTTGTTTTATGACTACTAAATGTTGCATGTCATCCACGGCTGAGGCTCCATTGTCTACCTGCAGACTAATCCATTGTATTGAGTGTGGATTTGCGGCTGTCTGGAGTGTGCAGCCTTTGGGGAATGTGTGTGTACTGATCCTCTGAGGAGAAGGAAGCAGCGGTTTCACGGCTCAGTGGCTGGGCTGACAATGCTTCCAAACTCACTCTGAGATAAATAAGTCATTTTACCTGGAAGCACCACCTCCTCCCACATCACACTCTGCCTGTGCTGCCTTTGTCCTTAGACACAAACGTAATCATCATGAGGAAGTAATAACTAATAAAAACAATCATATATAAAGAATACTTTTGACAGGCTCCTTGTGCTGTGGGAGGAAAAATAAAGACAAATATGAAAAATATTGTTGTCAAATGCAATAATGTCCTGAAATGACGAGGAGTTGATTGTCAGCGTGGGTTCAAGCATATAATTGAATCACTGGTTACACCCTTTCTGGTAATTTAGACATTAATAACACATTTAGATGTTCACAGTCTCTTCTTTATGCAGCTGCAACATCCTGCGCCACAGTTTGGTGGTGTTAGCTCAGAAGGCAGAGCAGGTTATCGACTAATAAGAATCGATTCATTTACCATTCAAAAAACAAAGTGACACAGGTTTTAATTTTAGAATTAAAGTGAAGGAGGAGGCAGGACATTTGTCAGGAAGTGGCTTTTCCAGACAAGCGATCCAGGACAGTTGCTCAGTTGCTCTTTATTATTAGTATTATAAGTAAGGAAAAGGCTGCTTAGCTTAAGTAAAAAACACCCAGGGGGTAGTCTGAATTAGTACAGTCTAACTGACTAGAGCACCTGTGGTTTGTGCTAGAATGGGTCAGACTGTTGGATCGATTGCTTGCTTTTTTTTAGTCTGCATGAAATTAAGCTTCATGCTCATGTGCATGTGTGAACAAACCACTCTGAATTCTCAGTTAGTCTAAAAAACGTAATAAGTTTCACTCATTTTACCAAACATTAAGTACAAGCATTGTCTATATATTTAGGAGCCTTTCAAAACCAATAATCTCATCCTTCAAAAACAAAAACATATTTTATATGCAGATAAAATGCACGCCACTTTATGCCATGCATAACATGTCAGTTTAGCTTGCGAGTGTGGCTAAAGATGCTATGCTAGCTAGGGATGAGTATTGATAAGATTTTCACGATTCCAATTCCATTTTCGATTCTGTTTAACGATTCGATTCTTTATCGATTCTTTTTAAAAAAGGAGAACACTAAGGT